GCTGTAGTTAGTAGTGAGTGTGTGTTGTGTTCGAGTGTTAGAGTGATGCGTGTGGGATATCCAGGGTGATCCAGTGTATGTGAACAGTGAGATGTTTGGGCGCTGAAGTCGCCATAGCCATTTGAGAGTGAATTCGTATCTGAAGCCATATCTCTGAGTTTTGAGTGGGCGCATGTCGCCAGTGTGCTGTGTTACTGTTTACATGTGTGAAAAGTGTGTTTGAAAACGAGTCTGATTGCATCTCGGCCTTTTGGCTAAAAATAGATCAAGTGTAGTATCTGTTCTGATCAGTTTAATATTATCTGATGCACAAAAAAAAAAAAAAAAAAAGAATCCCACTCGTTCCCTCCTCCCAAAAAAAATAGAATTTGCTGCTCCATCATTGAAAATGCTTGAGTGTGACTACTGCTGTACAGTGCACCCCATTAATCTTCTTCATTTCGCTTGTGGGGTGATCTCCTCATCCTGTCTTTTCGCCAATGCTCTCTGTGTATGGGCATGAGCATGAGTTTGTTGTAAATCTTCTTGTGTTGATAACTGGGAAGGGTTTGTGGCAGCGAAGAAACTTCATTTTCTTAGGGCATACTCACCACCAGCCTCACCAGGCACTAGTTGCAGAATCGCAAAATCAGCGGCAAGATCAAGTCCTCCTAAAAGGAGGGGACTCAATCTGGCCACTCATTTTGCGAGTGTGAACGATATACAGAAAACCACGTTGCGAAATCACACAGATGCCCAGGTAGTTCTGTCCAAGCAGAGAGTACAAAACGCACCGAGAAACCATCCGTATAGAGCAATACACTGAAGTGATGAGCCAATGTTCAAGCCCTTAGGCCACACCAACACAGTATCCAAAGTCGCTCTTCTCTGTCTGGCGCCCAGCGCCCAGTCTACTCTACCCGACTATCCTACCTACAGCTGGTTCACGCAACAGGCTCATTCGACTCTCGAAGACCAATGCACATGACTGTCAACACCATAGCCGACCTCTCATCATGCACCAGGTACGTATCTTGTCACCCTCAGTCAGACCTTGATTACCTGACACTCGCCTCCTTCCCTGAAGACCACCCGATCGCCCGCATTACCCCCTGGCGCCCAGCAGCCCGGCTATGGCTGCCTGCGCCCCGCTGCCCTGCAGCGCCCCACCTCACCACTACGCTCCCCGTCAGCACCCTTGGCAGCAGCGCAGCATCAAGCGATAGCGCAGCAGCACGTCCGCATGGCCTGCACTGGCCTGGGCTGCCTCACTTCTTTTATGGAGGTGGCAGCCTCCTGGATGCTGCGTGTGGCCTGGCTGGAAGCTTCCAGTAGCTTCCAGTTGGGCCTCAGACCCTGTGCCCAGGCCGAGACTACAGTTGAGGGTCTGGGCCCTTTTCAGTTGGGCACGGCCTGAGGCTCCGGACTTGGGCTGTTTGCTGCATCTGTGCAGGGCTCCCAGGCAGGTGCGTCGGCAGTACTGCTTTTCCAAAGGCTGATGGCCTGCTTCCCAATGTATCGGCCCTGCTTTGTGTGTATGTGCCCAGGCGCAACTGTCAAGGCCTGGGCTAACTGTATGACGCAGCTTAGTGAGGCTCATGCATCTACCCAACCAACTGGTGTGCTGCGAGAGCCTGAATACCCACGTATGGAATTGTCAAATTTTGGCCTCTGCCGAATATTCAGGCCCGCCTTCACTTAGGGCGGGCACTGGGCTTGCTGGGGGCCTTAGCCCAGAACATGTGATGTCTGATAGGGCCCCTTGAGGGCTTGTGTTACGGACTCCGCCAGGGCTCGATTCCTGGTCTGCGGGTTCACACCCGCCTGGACTACTGTTTTCTTTTATTTTTTTTATTTCTCTTTGTTTTCCTTGTGCTGCTTCTCGTTTTTGCCTGGCACCTGATTTTCCAGAACCCTCCTTGGGTACCAACGGATCTCTGGGACAGTTGGCGCCATCCAGCGCCTTCCTTTTTGGTACCGTCGGATTCTGGGCACCTGGCGCCATCCTGCAAACTCGGCGCCACTTTCAAATTCCACATTTTTCAGTTCTGCCCTTGGGGCTTTGCAGATTTGCCCCCGGTACTGTACCGGACACCCGGTACTTATACCGGTGCCCCGTACAGTATGGGGACCAGTTTTTGCATTCAGCTTGGAACAAGTTCTGAGACGCTGTTTTCATGTGCAGTGTGTCTCACTGCTACTTTGCCTTCGGAACCAAGACTTCGACTTTGTGCCTCAGCCTCTGGTTTGCGTCCGGTCGAGTTCAATCGCGTGAGTGAGTGAGTGTGTGTGTGTGCTCTCACTCTCTCTCCCTCTGCTCCCTCCTCGCCTTCTGCCTCTGCGCTCGTTACAGCTTATTCCTCACACAGCGAAGAAACTTCATTTTCTTAGGGCATACTCACCACCAGCCTCACCAAGCACTAATTGCAGAATCGCAAAATCAGCGGCCAGATCAAGTCCTCCTAAAAGGAGGGGACTCAATCTGGCCACTCATTTTGCGAGTCTGCCATTTTGAGGGCCTAGTGTGAGTATGCCCTTAGAACTGGACGGAAACTTGGAAAGGCAATGTGGGATCTGGACGGATGTGTGTACAAGTGGATTCTGACATGTATCTGCTCTGTGCCAGTCAGAAAAAGGTCGCGGTTGGGGCAAATTCACTGCCAAGGATGTGGCAGTTCATAACAAGAGAGACGATTGCTGGCTAATCATTGATGACAAGGTCCGTATGGGATTCATGCAACCCAGCCCTTGTTTGGATTTTTTTGAGTGTCTTCGTTTTCTTTCTGGGAAAAATTGTGTGGTAGTGGCAGTACCCTAAAGGTTCCCGACTTCCCATAGTCGGTCTGTTGTTCCCCTCTGATGTGGGTCCAGATTTGTGGGAAAACCCGCCTCAGGGCATACTCACACTAGGACTTTTTTACTTATTTCTGGACGGAATTGCGGCCAGATGCATACAGGTGTGGCCAAATTGCGGTCCATTGCATTTTGGAAAGTGCTAGTGTGAGTATGCCCTCATTGTGTTTGGTCCTTGTACCGTTTTCTGGTGCCCTCTGTGGGGCCCGCCCATGTTCGTCCGATAACGCTGTCCGGGTGACTGCTAGCCACAGTGGTCAAAATTTGTGTGATGCCTCTACCGTCATCCTATGCCATCTTTTCACCATCCCCCGCTATCTGTTGGACGGTTACAACGGCCCCCTCCTTGGCCAAAACAGCCTGTACCTGTACGTCGGGGTGGTGCTGCGATGGACATCTCCTCATGCCCAGGACTGCTTTCTGATTGGAATTAAAGGCAGGGGCCCAAAGCGTTTTTTGGAGGGGGTGCCCAGGATTTTAGAAAGGGGTTGGAGTCCCAGGCTGGAACTGAACTCTTGATTTGTCGGTTCCCACAAAATTTGGGAATCTGCAGAGAAAAATTGTGAACAAAGATTAGAAGAAGAGACTATTCTACTCTGATTGGCGAAAGACAAAAACGCATGCGCGCACGCGCGCGCGTGTGTGCATGTGTGTGTGTGTGTCTGTGTGTGTGTGTGTGTGTGTGTGTGTGTGTGTGAGAGAGAGAGAGAGAGAGAGAGAGAGAGAGAGAGAGAGAGAGAGA